TTCAGCATGACATCACATCCCTGTAACACATCCCTTAATATTATAGATTTACATCACATTGGAACTGAACTGGTTTTCTGTCATAAACACCTTAGTTTCTCACTGTCTTTCATCCTCAGACAAACCAGGCTCCTCCCCACAGGGCACTGACTCTGCTCCCCCCAAACACACTTCCTATTACTGGCTCCATCTTCTCATCCTGACAGCAGCTCCACAGTCACCTCATCTGAGAGTCCTCCTGCAGCCTCTCTCCACACAGTACCTGTCTGTCATTTTTTGTGATTCCAATTAATTATCTATACATCACCCACAAAGCATGATTATTTTCCAATTGTTATTTTCATTGATTGATTGATATTATTTCCCTAATTTGTCAGGAATTTTTTAAATGCAAAAGACACTTGACAATCAGAGGCATGAACAGACAGGAGCCTATTTTTTTTCATGCAACAAGTCTGGAGAGACATGGTTGTTCTCCAGATACTCAATCATTTCATGAATTCCTAAATCTTTCCTACTTTTTGATCTACCATCCCTATTACAGAGGTTTTGTTTTCATTCTTGTTGACAAGACCTCAGGATGGCTGCTGGAGCTCCAGCTGTCACACCCCTTTTGAAGAGGAAAACAGCTGCACAAATCGAGTCTGTTTCTTTCCTTCACAGGCAAACGTTCATGGGAAAGACCCCAACACTGACACATCCATGGACCAACTCCCGCCACAGTGTCAACCCTGGCCAAGAGGGACCTGAGCACAACAATCATCCTGCTTTGAAATGAATATGGAAGACGAGATACAGGTAGAAGGTGCTGAGGACAGTCTGCTGTGTCACCAAACAAGCGTGTCCACTCCACTGCCCCACCCACATGATGCAAGCTCTAATACAGGGGCTGTGTCCTGTTAACACTGATTTCCCAGGATGGAAGTGGGTCTAAATCCATGTTTGTTGGGTGAGTGTTCTCCTGTCTCCATTTTAGGAGTGGTAATCACCACCGCCTTCTTCTGACTCAGCATCAGCAGCGGACACCGATAAAAAGAAGTCTGGAGTTCTCTATTCCCTGGTGCCAAGTCTCCAAACTCCACGCTTGACCACCCACCACCCCAGAGATCTGTGCAGTGATGCCTCAGGTGGGAAACCTCAGACTGGTCATCTCTTCCTCTAAACAAGCCTATTCATGTTTCCATGGGTGCTCTCAGCCCCTTATGCGTGGTGTGAGACAGGTGAGGTCATGGAGAAAAGAGTAATTCCTTCCCTGGGTAAGGAGATCAGGGCCTGAGCAGTGGAATCTAAATCCACTCAGGGACAGAGGATGCCCCTGCGTCTCTACAGCTTGTGTGCAGTGACCACCAGGGGGTGGCAGAGAGCCATCTGGTAAAGCCACTTGCAGTTGGGAGGGCCTGGGTGGCATCAAGGATTCTAACAATCACAGGGGTGTGCTGAGGTGGATGTGGGTGTGGGAATTAACCACCAGCTCACACCTTAAGGAAAAGTTGTATGTTTCCTACACCATCACCTCTGATACTGATGTGAATTCTGACTCCATGTCTCAGCTCTGGTTCCTGTAGACTTTGCCTAATTCTCTGGCACAGCACCAGGTACTTCATTCTTCCTCCGCCACACCAATTGTGCTAAAACCCTGTCACCCTGAAACTCTCAAGCACAGGATCTGCCGCTGGCAATGAGGGCACACTGGGGACACTGAGGCACAGCATTTATGACCTGACCCAGGAGCTCTCAGCAAGGAAGGGATCTTACCTCTAGTCAATGGCTCTTAAAATCTCATGTGTCCTTGAAAAGGTGAGAATTATATTCAGGTC